TATGGTGTGGGAAGTCCTTCTGTACATGTGTTGCTTTTATTGGTTAATGAATAAAGAAACTGTGTTGGGCCAATACAACAAACTGGCACTCCAATGTGTGCTTGCTAAATCCACATAAAACCTGAGAGGACTTGAAAAGGAATTCTAGACACACACACACACACACACACACACACACACACAAAAGTTTGCCTGCATTTTCATTTTTTGGATGGGCTTTGCTTGCTGGCAGCATGCTGCGGCTCCTTTAAGAGAGGTCTTCCTGATCCAGTGGTGTAGCATGAGGCCCGGCTGACTTGTTGGGGTTTCTGTCCCGCCCGGTACCCCACAACTGGAACTCCCAAGGAAAATCACACACAGGACTCCATAAGGTTATAAACTGATTGGCCCATTAGGTCAGGCTACTTATTAGCTCTTATAACTTATGTTACCCCATTATCCGTATCTACGTTAGCACATGGCTCAGTACCTTTTCCAGCGGGACAGCTTACATCTTTCCTCTCCGGTGATCTGGGCAGAACTGCAGAGGGAGCTTCCTGCTTGCCAGAATACTCCCAGTCTCTTTGCTCCACCTCTGCTTCCTGTCTGTTTTTCCCACCTATACTGCCTGCCTGGCCAATCAGCGTTTTATTAAAATATGATTGACGACAGAATACAGACAATTCTCCCACACCATTTCCCTCTTTTTTTTTTTTAAACAAAGAAAAATACCCATAGTCCATTTGTTGGGAATGTGGGCGTAGTATTTCAGGCTACTTCCTGCTGGTTGGGGGCGCTGATAATCTTATGGGGACCTAAAGAAAATTTAGAGTTATAATTAAGTCCTGACTGTTGTATCCTGTGAGTCTTGATCATCTTAGGCAACAGTCTTGAATCTGTTCTGGATGAAGAACTCAGACATCCAGGCCATCTGTTCCTACCAGAGATTGTTCAGGTGGTCTCCCTTGTTCAAAGATGATTTTTCTTAACTCTGAATGAATCCACAACCTCTCATTTTCTGTGGAAACAAAAGCACAATCTCTTCTCCAAAGTAACATACCTTTTGACTTCAGTTTTGAAGCCAAGGTATTTTCAAAATACCTATCTTGGGTTAGTTCAGCAGCATTTATAAAAAAAAGTCTTTTAGCAGCTGTTGCTCCTTCCTCAGCATTCAAACAATTCAAAGAGAGCATAATAATATACAGTATCAAGATTCTCTGTGTATTTTCCATCTTTATGCAGCTTTATTTCAACCTCTATTTCTTTTAATTTTACTTTTAATTTTTGGCTTTTTGAGACAGGTCTCTGTATATATCTTTATCCTGGAATAACTCTGTAGACCAGGCTGTCCTTGAACTCACAGAGATCCTCCTGTCTCTGCCTCCCCAGTGCTGGGCTCAAAGGTGTTTGCTACCACACCTTGAACTCACAGAGCTCTGTCTGTCTCTGTCTCCCAGGCATTGGGATTAAAGGCGTGTGCTACCACACCTTGAAGTCACAGAGGTCAATCTCTACCTCTGTCCCTTGAAGTCACAGAGGTCAATATGCCTCTGCCTCCCAGGCATTGGGATTAAAGGTGTATACCACCACACCCAACTACTCTCTTTTTTTACTTTAAGAACTTTAACTTTTATCCTGCATATATTTTTAACACACTGTAAACCATTTAGAGGTTTTCTTCCTCTTTGAATCTCTTTTTACTGTATATCTCTCTTTTTCTGACCACACAAGTCTTTAATTTACAAAGTAATATGGAAAGCTGTGGCTTTGACGGCTAGATCCAGCCCATTCCTTAGCTTTCCAGCCTTATGGCTGAGATACTGCTGGAGCCATTTTTATTGTCACAACTCTGAGGCATTTCAAGGTCCCTGCCAGCAAGCAAGCTGCAGCATTCTGCTCACAGATCACACTCAGTCAGACTGCCTGCCTCAAAGAGTCAGAGATTTGCCGTGGCAGGACAGCCCAGAAAGCTGGCATTTTAAAACAGCGCAGCTTTTTTCCTGCTATGGCTAAAAACCGAAAAGCACGCATTCAGCTTTTCATCAACACCATTTAAGTGTTTCGTGGCAGGACCTCTTAATGAGCTGCAGGGTTTTGCAGCTAAAGCTGAGTCAGGAAGCCTCTCTTAGATGAGAGTGCTTGCTTGCCTCTAGCAAGCAGAGCAGACCTGAGAAATTGCTGCTACCAAGAAAACATGCTTTACTCTATTCTTTTCCAAGCTTTCTCAGGCTTTCTGTGGATTCATTTATCCATGTGGGCACCATATGTAGCATGAGGCCCGGCTGGTTTGTTGGGGTTTCTGTCCCGCCCGGTACCCCACAGCTGGAACTCCCAAGGAAAATCACACACAGGACTCCATATGGTTATAAACTGATTGGCCCATTAGGTCAGGCTACTTATTAGCTCTTATAACTTATGTTACCCCATTATCCTTATCTATGTTAGCACATGGCTCAGTACCTTTTCCAGCAGGGCAGCTTACATCTTTCCTCTCCGGTGGTCTGGGCAGAACTGCAGAGGGAGCTTCCTGCTTGCCAGAATACTCCCAGTCTCTTTGCTCCACCTCTACTTCCTGTCTGGCTTTCCCGCCTATACTGCCTGCCTGGCCAATCAGCGTTTTATTAAAATATGATTGACAGAATACAGACAATTCTCCCGCACCACAGTGGTAACAAAAAAAAAATCTGCACGGTTTCAAAACAGAGGCTTCCTGGGCCATGCTGCCAGCAAGAACTCTGGCTCTTTTGGGAGACTGAGCATTTAAATGGGGTTTGTGAGCAACGTGTTACAAACTACTTAATGGCGTGATATAGACCCACTGCATACTTGGAACTGGAGCAGTGTGCGCAGCTTGCAGAGGCAATGAACATGCCTCCGACATATTGGACTGGCAGAGCCAAAAGGCAAGGCAGCCTTGGCCCTAGTCACTCCTTGGCATAGTGTTTTAAGAAGTGTTCCTGGGCAGAAAATGATTTCAGATACACAATAGGAGATTCAGACATAAGAGAACTCTAAACGAGTCACAGTGTGTTTAAAAAATGTACACAGGCTTGGGAGAGAGAAGAAAAAGAGTAAAGAGTAAATGTAATATAAAAGAGTACAGACAGTCATAAATTAAGGAAGTAAAGATAATAAAATAAATATTAAACGTGTTGAAAAAGTGATAGAGTAAAAACAAGCCATGTAAAAATGGAATACACAGAGAGTCTGGATTATGTATATTATTGTGTTTTCTTTAAATTTTTTGACTTTGAAGGAGCTAAGTACAGAGAACATATTATTGTATGGGCTGCTAAGCTAAACCAGTATTTATAAAGGTATCTTGATTTCAGAATTTGGGTCTAAGAATATGTTACTTTGGAAAAGAGGTTCTTCTATTGTTTCCACAGAAGATGAGAACCTATGGATTTCTTCCAGATTAATATGGTTTGATGGACCAAGATTTCCCCCCTAAAGTTTACCATGAACAACCCCAAAATTTACTTCACCCAACAAAAAGCAGGAAGTAGTCTGGAGAGAACTTGCCCAGATTCACTAAATGACTGTTTACAAATGTTTATTTATATTTAGAGGGGATATGCTATAGAGATGAATACTTTGCATTGATATGGATCTTGGTTTATTGATACCAATTTAAGGTAAATTTTGTTATATGTGTATTTCTGTTCTTGATTAAGGTATTGTGTTTATGCATCTCATTTAAAAATGTAATGTATAATTAAGAAATATAGGTTAATAGATAGTCATCTATAATAAGTCAAGATTGTAGTCATGTTAGGTTTTCTAGATATACAGAGATACATTTCAGATGGATAGTTAGTCTTCAAACTTCAAAGACTAACAGAGTATGGCATTTAAAATGTTTAAGAACTTAGAACTTGCCGGGTGGTGGTAGCACACGCCTTTAATTCCAAAACTCGGGAGGCAGAGGCAGGTGGATCTCTGTGAGTTCGAGGCCAGCCTGGTCTACAAGAGCTAGTTCCAGGACAGGCACCAAGCTACAGAGAAACCTTGTCTCAAAAAAACCAAAAAAAGAAAAAAAGAAAGGAAGAAAGAAAGAAAGAGAGAGAGAGAGAGAGAGAGAGGAAGAAAGAAAGAAACTTAGAACTTTTCATGACAATGAGACTCATTTGCTCCTGGTAGTACCAATTACTTCAAGAGGAAGATGGGCATTGAAGAGGCTACTCATGGAGTTTGTTAGTTATTTGAGCAAGAAACTGCTCTTGCCTGGACTGCTTGATGTTATGCTGTATGAACTGGACATGCAGGACCCACAGGGAAGTGACTGCTGAACTTGCCTAAAGGTGAGACCATCCTTCGGGTTCCTGTTTCATGAAAGACTCTGCCAGACATTCTGCAGGGCACAGAAGAAAGCAACTGATGGGCTTTGCCAGTACAAGGCAAAACAGATCTTCAAATTTCCTGCTTCATGGAAAAGTCTGCTAGATACTGTGGGTCAGTGTTTGAAGATGGGTGCCCACATTACAGAAGATCCTTGGGTTAACTGTCCAGTAGTGAGATGTCTCTGTCAATTTCAGAGTTCTATAAGTTGTTTACAATGCATTTTATATTTACTTAGGTAATATATCCTTCTGGAGACTTTGATGGAGTTGAAGAATAGATAGTTATAGTTTTCCTTAGTTATGATAAAAGATAAAGTAGATATAAATGTTATAACTATAATTTTTGCTTGATAACTTTTGTCATATGTAATTTTACTATGTTGAAGTTAAAACCTTCCTTTTATTTAAACAGAAAAGGAAAAATGATGGTGGAAATCCTGTATATGTGTTTCTTTTATTGGTTAATGAATAAATAATCTGCCTTGGTCTGTGATAGGGTAGAGTAGACTAAATGGGGAAAACTAAACTGAATGCTGGAAGAAGGCGTAGTTGGGGAGATGCCATGTAGCTGCCAGAGGGGACAGATGTGAGCTGCTAGCTGGAACCTTACTGGTAGGCCACGAGGTACAATATAAAATAATGGAAAAGGTTAATTCTACATGTAAGAGCTAGCCTTCAATACGCTTATGTGATTGGCCAAGCAGTGATTTAAATAATATAGTTTCTGTGCGATTATTTCGGGAGCCTGGGTGGCAGGGAAATGAACAAGCGCCCTCCTACAACAATTATGATTACTTCCAGTTGTACCTATCATCTTGCAAATGTCAAAACTGTTTTTTTTTTACGGCTGAAAAAAATGGACACAGGTTGCTTTCATAACTCCGCTACTGTGAGTACTACTGTAATTAATACTTACATGCAAGCACCTCTGCTGTTTACCTGGAGTCTTTCTCAGTGAACCTTGTCCTTTCCCTCGAGACATCACTGTCTGTGCCTCACTAGCTGTCTTCAAACTACTGCTGTACCCCACCCCCCAAAGAAATCATGGCCCCCTGGCTATCATCCCTGTTCTGTAGTTCATATCTTTATTACAGAGGACAGTGAGCTCTCTAGATGTAATTTCTACCCTGTGACCTTTTCCCAAGTCTACAAAGCGCTGAGTTGTCAGGATAAAACCATTCTCCCTGTAGGACATCCTCCTCACTGTGCCCCAACCAAATGCATGGTCAGCGTCCTCCCAAACTCTCCTAGCTCTGCCAGTCTGGCCATGCTCTGTCCTCATCTCTACCCTTACATATGGTGTCCTCTACCTCAAATGCCTCCCCTCAAAAATGCTCCTTCCTGTATGTGCCGCTTGCTAACCCGTCCTTCGCTGAGCTCCAAGGTTCCTGTGTCCTTTCCTCAGGCTGGGTACTGGCTTCTCTCACAGTCACCTCCCACCGTGCTGTTCTGTGGAATCCCTTCCCTCTTCCCTAGAGTTAAGGAGCATCATGAGGAGACTCTTGTACCTCAGATGCAGAGCTCTCCTCACACGCCTTTCTCTCTCTCTCCCCAACTTCCTTCTGAGGATTTCTTCCCTGCAGCATTTGGGAAAAGTCAATGGGAATGCTCTCATCTCAAAGGACTACATAGGACTGCACTGTAGAAAGATTTTAAAAAGTGCAGCGACCTCCCCTTCGCATCTTTATTTCTCAGGGAGTAAGAAACCAGCTGACAAGACAAAACAACACAAAAATCCCTGTGGGTGGCATGGAGGCAGAGCCACTGAGTCAAGTTCCTCTGTCATCAGCAGCTTCGCTCCTCTCCCAGGTCCTGGAGGGAAGCAGCCGTGGGCCAAGCAGTCTAACAGCACGTGTGTACCTGTCTCCGCAACCAGATTTATCCAGTAGGCTTCCTGGATAAGCATTTAGGTTTGTTGGTGGATGCTGGGCGAGTCTAGACAGCAGATTGGATACTGCTGCTTCTGAGCTGGAGGGCAGACCCAGACTGGAAGCTCCCAGGCACAAGCCAGGGTCAATGCAGTGAACTGCTCTCCCCTCAAACCTGTGCTGTGCATGACCCCATTTCACCCCGTGCCAGTGGGTGAGGACACTGCTGCTACTCTGTGGATGATTATTAACCTTCCCAGGATCTCAAGTCACATTCTACTTTAACCCAGCCTCAAGCTCCCCTTGTGCTGCAGGTCAGATGGTAAGGAGGCCTCTGTGCTTGTATGCATGCCACAGAAATGCACATGTGTCTTAGGATCCAGCATATAGTTAGCTGGGACAAAATGGCTCTGCTTTGGACATGAGTACATTCCAGTTTCTTTAATATGAGTTTTGATTTCTTTCTTCTTCTCTCCCCCACCCCCCAGACAGGGTTTCTTTGTATTAGCTTTGGAGCCTGTCCTGCTGTCCTGGAACTCGCTCTTGTAGACCAGGCTGGCCTTGAACTCACAGAGACGTGTCTGCCTCTACCTTCCGAGTGCTGGGATTAAAGGCATGCGCCACTGCCACCCGGTTTGGGAATCAGGATTTCAACATAAGAACCGGGGAGGAGACAGACACACAGAGCAAAGCAGAGCTGGACTTTCAAGTAGATTTGAAGGTAATATAAATGTTCCTCGCAGAGCTCTTTTGGAGCTGGTCCAGTCTGTCCTGTCACTCCCTCACACTCCCTTTGCCCTCGGCTGCCAGTCTCTCAGTGCGGCAGTTACTATTCTATATGCTAATACAGAGGAACATTCCTGGTAGAACTGGGTTAGTTGAACAACATTATTACTGCAGGAAAAAAAACACTGGGAAAATCATTCCCCAGAGGCCAAAATAGCCCACAAGAGGCAAAACCAAAATCAGAAAGTTGTTGAAACGTTGTATAGGAGGAAGGGTGTGTGTAAATATTGGAAGGAGCAGTGTCCTAAGGTATCACCAACACATTTTCTTTCTTAACAGAATCTAACCAGCACAAACGGCTATCAGACCCAGCATGCATCTACTGTTAGTGAAGTGGACTTGCTCAGTGTCCCCGGAGGGCTCCCCAGAAGCCTGTTGTTGAACTGAAGACTGCTGGGAAAGGGCTCTATGGTCCTGCCCCATTGTCAGGTTGGTGTTGCTGCTGAGGGGCCCATCGCCTCTCCCTTGGAGACGCTGGGTTTCAATATGCTTTTTATTCTCTTGGCCTCCTGAGCAAATGGCTGTCACTGTTTCCATTGTGTGCTCTTCCCTTTGGAATGGGGCCAATGAGACCAATGTTTGGCAATTTGGGTTCCTGCTTGGAGTGATTTTCTGCCTTTTCTCCCACAGAGACTCTCCCACACTCAGTCACCTAAAAGCAGTGCCAAACAGATTTCATTTGAAATGTTGATTTTTAACCCTTGTTAGTTCATCTGGATAGGGGCAAAATACCAAATCCAAACCCTGAGCCCCACAGTTGCTAGATTAATGCAAAAGTTCCTCCCCACCCCTCAAGTACCCGTCCCCTGTCACTAATATAACTGAGGCCATATGCATGTCACAGCATCAATAGACTGAAAAAAATGTCCCATGCTTTATGAAATGGATTAAATAAAAAAATGCTGCAGGACCTGCAGAAACACTGCAGGTCCCTGAGTGGCGGCAGGCAGCAGGTCCTGAGAGCAGCCAGTCCCAGCAGGGATGGCACAGTTTCCTGAGTGGCTGCAGCAGGCCACAAGGAGAGACAGACAGATGGGCATGAGACCACACCGCTGGTCCTGGGCAGGGAGACACAAGGCGGGCGAGAGACAGAGACATGGATAGGCAAGCCATTCAGAGTGAGGTTGGGTATTTATTTAGTGGGTTATGGAATGTAAGGAGGAGAAAGAGAAGAGAGAGAGAGGAGAGAGAGAAGAGAGAGACAGAAGCTGCCTCTTTAAGAGGGAGAAGATAAAGGAAGGGACTCAGGCTGAAAGCAGGAAGGAAGATCTCCCTGCCTCAGCGATGGGGGAGGGAGTGGGCAGGGCTTGTCTCTTAAAGGGACAGGACAGATTATTACATTTTACATATCCAATTAAGAGGTCTAATTTACTTTTTGTTTGTTTTTGAGACTGGGTCTCACTATGTAGACCAGGCTGGCCTCGAGCTCACAGATGCCTGCCTACCTCTGCTTCTCATGCCTGGATCAAAGGTACATGCTACCATACTCCACCCAATTAAGAAATGCTTTTGGTTTTATGGGACTGGGGGAATAGCTCAGAGTAGAGAGAATACTTACTTAGCCATGTGCAAGATGCTGAGTCTGACTCCTAGCACCACATATATACTCACACATTTTTTAAAAATGAGAAATCCTACCTTACACTTGAAAAGGCCTGAACATCCTAATTGTTGGGATTTTGTAGAGCAGAATGGCAGTTAGAAGTCAAAGGTTAAGTACCTTTCCTATATACAATTGGAAGTTAGTGGCAGAAGTGGTACTACTACAATGTAATTGCTTCAATGGCCATACTCAATTTTATTCTGCTATCTCAAGTAATTAGTTAGGACTTGTTTCTTTCACATTCTAATCAAGGTATATTTACATTTTATAAAGCACACAGACCTCAGTAAGCTTCCACAAGACCTGCATTCCTGTATTTAACACCTCAGTTAAAACCCAGACTATTAGCCAGGCATGGTAACACATATGTGTAAGAACATTTGAAAACTGGGCTGGGAACATCAGGAGTTCAAGGCAAGCCTGAACCCCACTCACTCAGAAAGCTACCAACCAAATGGACAACACAGACGACTTCTGTCCTCTAGAGGTCTGCTGAGCTCTTTCCTTCAGGCCCCACACTGGGCACGGCCACTCTGATTTATATTCCTTTCCATTTCTTTTTTTTTAAAAAAATATTTATTTATTTGTTATGTATACAATATTCTGTCTGTGTGTATGTCTGCAGGCCAGAAGAGGGCACCAGACCCCATTACGGATGGTTGTGAGCCACCATGTGGTTGCTGGGAATTGAACTCAGGATCTCTGGAAGAGCAGTCAGTGCTCTTAACCTCTGAGCCATCTCTCCAGCCCCCTCCTTTCCATTTCTTTTGAGGCTATAGTTTTTTTCCAGTGCTAGTGACTGAAACCAGTCACTTGCACATGTTAACAGTGTCCCCTACCCTCTGACACTGAATTCAAAGGTTTACTTACAGCTGAAATACCTCTGACTAACACCCTCTCCTCTTGGCTACAGAACCACTGAAAAAAATGGTAAAAGATCTACTTGGACAGCGTCACAGGGAAACAGCTTGGTCCTATTATGATTACAGACACAATTAGTTTTAGTTTCAGTTTTTTGATTTTGTTTATTGAGACAGGGTTTCTCTGTGTAGTTTTCAATGTTCTGGAACTAGCTTGGTAGACCAGGCTGGCCTTCAGCTCAGAGCTCTGACCTCCAATTTTAATCTGCTGAGATAAAAGCCATCCACTGCCCAGTTTTTTGTTTTACAATTAGTTTTAAAGAGATTCACGGGTACAGGAAGTCAAGGCCAATTATGAAAAAAAAAATGAGGAATACAATAAACTCTTCATTAAGAAAATAAGGGTACTTTCTCCAAGGTAACTGCCTCCCTGGCTCTGAGATCAGGGACATTCAGGGTGGTGTGGCCAAGATGAGGTTTCCCAGGTTCTTTCTAATCTAGCTACTCCTGGCTAATTGGCTTAGGCCCTAGGGGAAATTTTACTTGAGCCCATAAAGGGGAACACATGCACACACACACAAGCACGCACAAATGCACACATGCCTCTTTTGTTTCTATTTGGAGCCACTTCCTACTTCACTGACCTTTGGGCTTCTGTGAGGCTCCCAGCAGCTCTGGATTTCTCACTAATACGTGAGGCAAGTGGTAACTGAAAACTAGCCAGAAGAGAGCTGCTGTTTAGAAACTGGGAACTCTGGCTTTGGAACTTTGCCTTAAGACCAAAAATGTCAAGGTCTGGGAGGGGACAACTTTCCAGTGGCCACAGACACAAGCAAATCAAACAGGGCCTGCACTTCTCCAGCCAGGCACTGGCGGCCAGACCAGGTCGTTTTCTCCACAGCAGCTTCATTTCCTCAGACAGTGAGCTCATACTTGGCGATGGTGCACTCAACAAACAGGGTGTTTAACCCCACCCTCGCCATGGTCCACTCAATCAACAGGGCATTTAACCCTGTCCTGGCCATGATCCACTCAGTAAAACAGGGCATTTAACCCCGTCCTGGCCATGGTCCACTCAATAAAAGACAGCATTTAACCCCATCCTAGAGCAGAACTATGTAATGGATTAATAAAAATGCTGCAGGATCCCCAGTGGTGGCAGGCAGTGGGCAGGAGGTCCTGAGAGCAGCCAGTCCAGGGCAGGGAGACACACAGTGGCAGGCAAGAGACATGGATAGGCATGCCATGCAGAGTGCGGTAGGTTATTTATTAAGTGGGTTATGGAAGGGAGAAGAACAGAGAGAAAGGTGGAGAGAGAGAAAGAGGGAGGGAGGGAGGGAGGGAGGGAGGGGAAAGACAGAAGGGGGAAGGGGGAGAAGTGGGGAGAGGCAGAAAAAGAAGGGATTCAGGCTGGAAGTTGAAGATCAGCCTGCCTCAGCAGACAGGGGAGGGAGTGGGCGTGGCCAGAACAGATCATTATAAACTATGTGAACATGTATACTGTGTGTCTGAGTCATAATAAGTTCTAACAATTCTGAAGAAAGGAGCACTTACACACACACAGTTATAACACTAGGTAACTTAGGAAAGCTGGAGAAAAAGCATCAACAGTGAGAGTGAAATCTTCCCTCCTGGCAGAGCCTAATGTGGGTGTGTGGGGTGGAGGGGGAGGGACACGCTGGTGACAGGACCAGAAGGCAAATCAGGACGGCTGCCAGCAGCATTTAGTTGGAAAAAAAAATGTACACCTTTTATACCTTACAGTTGCAGAGAATCAAGGGAGGTGAGGAATGCGTGAAATGGGGTGTGGCTGGAGGAATCTAGCATTGACCTCGACAGTAGGCACTGTTGTGTCCTAAGGAAGGGCCCACAAGTTCCTCTTGTTAGAGATAAGAATGACCACTTTATCAAGCAGGAACTTTCCACAAGCCACCAGGGAATGGAGACCCTTGTCCAAAAGCCTGACCTTGGGAAAAAGACTTGGGAGCACACTGTACTACAGTTTCTTAGCCTTACTACGTGGGCCGGTTTCCCTCAGAAGGCTCCTAAAAGGGAAGGTTCTGATGTCTTACTCTGTCCCATTCTGATTTCTCTGTATTTAACTGAACTCTTGCCCTTAATGACTCCAGGCTCTGAATTGTCTAACTTTGTTGTACTTGATGTAATCAGGAGAGCACAATGGAATTCTTGGTTCCACTGTGGTGGGGATTTTTTCCAAAGGATTATTTTGTTTAGAGAGGTCACCATTGTACTCATTTTATCCTTTACCAAAGCCCATGCAAAATTCCCCAAAGGGAAAGGCATTAAGAGTGAGAATCATTGAAAATGAAAGTAAAAAGGTGCTGGAGATGTGTGGTCTGCAATGTCGAAAAGCTGGGACTTCGCCAAACAGCAATGTCCTTCATTCTCAGCTGGCTGTCTCCCTGCGGTAGGAAACGACGGCGACTGCTGCAGTTATGGATTCTAGGGACCCTCACAACATGGAGCAGAGGAGAATCCTGGAAGCAAAGTTGCTGTTACAGTTGGAGGCAGAGGCAGGAAGATCATAGTTAAGGTCATCCTTGGCTGCGGTAGTGAGTTTAAGGTCAGCCTGGGCTATGGAGGGGATCCTGTCTCAAGAAGAAAAGGCAGGAGAGGAAGAGAGGAAGGGAAGGAGAGAATGAGAATACTTTGGACTAGTCCCGATAGTGGCTTCTGCGTATCATCTTGGCATTCGAAGGCTGGTGCAGGACTGAAAGTCAAGGATAGTGTAGGCTACAGAGAGAGACTCTGTCTCAAAAACAACAAACACTGAAACAAACAAAAAACCTTTCTCGACAGGTCTGAGAACAGACCTTTCCAAAGCTACTCCCGTGTTAAGCCTGATAGAAGAATTAACTTCAACCACGTCTGATTGCTGAGGAAGCTGGAAATATGAACTACATGGTCCCTACTCCAGAAGCTGCAAAGTTCCTGGACTCTAATACAGTTTCAGCCTAGTGTCCAGTTGCTGAGTCAGTGTAAGATGGTGTAAAACAGAGCTGCTGCAGGTCACCGTAGAAAGCGCCATGTCCCAAACTGATGCTGTGTTTTAGAGAACCAGTTAAATGCAATCAAGGTCATTACCGAGAGGTTTGCTTATTTATTGATTGATTGATTGGTTTTTTGAGACAAGGTTTTTTTGTAGCTTTGGAGCCAGTCCTGGAACTCGCTCTGTAGACCAGAATGGCCTCAAACTCACTGGGATCTGCTTCCCCTGCCTCTGCCTCCCACATGCTGGGATTAAAGGTTGAACCATCACTGTCAGGTTGGGAGTGTAGGCCTCAGCCCTGGTCTGGACTCCAAATCCCAGCAGGCCAGGTTCTGACCCCTCCCTGGGGTGGGGTCAGGACCACTTCCCAGGGTATTTAAATGAGTTCCCAAAAGAGATACACGTGGTCTCCCTTTTTTTCCTCCCCAGGACGCATTCCCTGGCTTCCCGGTTCCCCGAAGGGCCACCCAAGAGCGCAGAACTTCCATTAAACCTGGATATTTCTTAATTTGGCTTGTTTTGATTTGGCTTGATTGGGAATTTTGCCGGCAGGGAGCTCACGTTAGGAAATATTCCTAATAATCACCACCCGGCGAGAGGCCATTTTAGCAAGGAGCTACTCCAAGCAAGTACAGATTGATGAGGTTCCAGGTTCCAGCTGTACTGACACCAAAGAGGTGCAGCACTCTGGGAGAAGGCGTTTCTTTCTTCTCTGACTTAACCACCGGAAAAGCAGAGGTTTGCGCAGCATGAAGAGGGGCAGGTCAGTAGGAAGGGTCCTGATGGCAGCACGAGCTCATTTAAACTGGTGGTATTCAGGTGGGTTTCTGATCCAGGATGCAAAGGGCTGTTTCCTCCGGAGCGCACTCCAGGCTTCTTGGTAGGCAGCTGCAGCCTCCTTGTACTCCTGATAGCTGTCCAGCTTCTGCACCCTAATGCACACATGTCATCAAGCAGGGTTCTCACTGGAGCATGGGGAACTCTGTTCCCTCGGTAGGGAATTCATGGTGCGGCAATGCATGCTTAAGCAGGTCAGAATTACAGAACACTAGCATTGTGTGGCTCTTGTACAATCAGATAAAAGTTTTCTTTGTGATGTTGAGGATCATACAAGCTTTCATATATGCTAGACAGTCTCCTATCAGTGAGCTGTCTACTCCCGCCGCGTAAGAACCTTCTTGACTGTTTCTCTTAAAAAGCATCATGCAAACATCCACACTTTCCTACTGCATGCTGCCACCCTTTAGCCTCTCTGCCTGCTGAAAACTGGCCAGCACTCTCACAGCTGCAATGTGCTGTGGAATATTATTTTAAGATGTGCTACATTTGTTTATGCTGTGGAACATTTGTTTAACAATGCAAAGGTGTGTTGCATTCTTTTATGTTGTATTTGTTTAACTCAGTAAAGTTTGCCTGTCTAAAACACCTGATTGGTCTAATAAGGAGCTTAATGGCCAATAGCTAGGCGGAAGAAGGATAGGCGGGGCTGCCAGGCAGAGAGAATACATAGGAGGAGAAAAATAGAAAAGAAGGAGGGAAGAAATCAGGGGCCAGCCACCCAGCCATACAGCCAGCCACAGAATAAGTGGTAAGGAAAGGTATAGAGAATAGGTACAGAGAAAAAGCCCAGAGGTAAAAGGGAGACAAGACAAGTTAGGAAAAGCTGACTAGAAATAAACCAAGCTAAGGCCAGGCATTCGTGCATTCATAAGAAAGAATAAGCCTCTCTGTATTTTTTTGGGAGCTGGGTGGTGAGCCCCCAAAGAGCCAACAGAGGAAAAAAAAAAAACTACAGTAATTCTTAGGAGAGATTCTTTGGATAAAGACTAGGACCAAAATGTCAACCAGAGACCTGAGTCCTCCTCTTGACGAGGCCTTGATTTCTGCCCTGGCTCTCTAAGTTCAGTGCCAACCAGAGTTCTCCTGAGCCAGTTACAGCAGCCCCTGCCCTTGCCTTCGATCACCTTCAGTACTGAATCCAGCTCTTCACTGTGGGCTTGGGAGGTAGTTTAGTATACAGGAACCCCTGGTTTGGTCCTCAGAACTGAGCCAACCAGGCGTGGTGGCATACTTGTGATCCCAGCACTTGGGAGGCATCAGAAAGTTTAAGGTCATTTTTGGCTATATAGCAAGGTTGAGGCGAGTCTGGGTTATATGAGACCCTACCTTCCATCTCACCACCCTGCCTGCCTTCAGCAGGAAGCCTGTGAAGTAGGGCCACTAAGACTTCCTCTAGCCTAGCTCCTAGCTCCAAAATCAAGTTAGACATTTCCTGTCCACAGACCTCCGGGGCCGACTCTGCTCCTGGCTTTAAGTCTCTAGTTGTGCTTGCACTTGGGAGTTGAGTCCAGTTTTCTTCCCTACAACATCTGAAGAGAGTTTTTTGTTTGTTTGTTTGTTTGTTTGTTTGTTTAAACAATCTTTGGCAAATGTCTAAATGAGGTTTTCCTTAGCTGGGCAGTGATGGGCACACCTTCCCAGCACATAGGAAGCAGAGGCAGGTGAATCTCTGAGTTCGAGGCCAGCCTGGTGTACAGAGTGAGTTCCAGGACAGCCAGGGCTACACAGAGAAACCCTGTCTCAAAAAAAAAAGAAAGAAAAAAAAAGTTTTTCCTTAATACTTCTGCTGCATACATATCATTCAGAGTAAAAAATTTTAAATTAAAAACTTTTATTTTATGCACACGAGTGTTTGCCTAAAAGTATGTCTGTGCAGCATGTGTGTGCCCCTTGCTCATGGTGTCCAGAGAGGGCATTATATCCCCTAGAACTGGAGTGAGCCACCTGACATGGGTGTTAGGACCTGAACTGTTGACCTCTGGAGGAGGAACACATGCTCTTAACCACTGAGTCCTCTCTTTAGTCCCCACCCCATAGATTTTTAGCAAATAAAATTGGTTACTTGTTAACAAAACCAAGTATAAACCATGCCTGGGCCAAGCACTCTTACATGGAGCACTTTACTTACATTCTTCTCAGAGATCCTGTGACAAGGCTAATGTTGCTATGCTTACCATTGGATAAATCAAGACTGTGATGATTAATCTTCATTGACAACTAGACTGGAGTTATATTTAGAAACACCGGGGAAACCAGCTTCTGGGCATATCCATGAGGTGTTTTCCAGGCAGGTTTGACTGCATAGGAAGACCCACCTTGGATGTGGGCAGGGGCATACGTGGGCTAGGATCCCAGATTGAACTAAAAGGAAAAACTGCGCTGATCACCACTGTTCTGCAGTGTAAGCAGCCACTTCGTCTCCTGCCATTATGGACTGAACCCTCCAGCTATCTATGAACCAAAACACAGTCTTCTTTTGGTTGTGTTTCACGAGATTTTTTACAGAGACTTGTCTTATTAATTCAATTTTATCCTGTTTTTACTCCTGTTCTTTATTATTATACTATTATTCTAACTGTTTTATGTGTAAGGTTATTTATTTTGCCTGTGTACCATGTGTAGGCAGTGCCTGTGGAGACCTAAAGAGGGTGTCAGAATCCCTGGGATGGAGTAACAGATGGTTATGAGCCCATGTGGGTGCTAGGAGTGGAACCTGGGTCCTCAGTAAGAGTAGCCAGTGTTCTTAGCCTCTGAACCATCTCTCCAGACCCTATTTTTATTATTTTTAATTGTGTGTGTGTGTGTACATTCACATAAGTTCATAAGAGTGCAGTGTTATGGAGTCCAGAGGCATCTGGGGAGGAGACCCCAGCTGTATAGAGACAGTGTTTCTTACAATAAATACTGATTTAAGTTTTATTTTGATCAGGTTTTTTGATAGTAAAGAGGCGGGATCCATGAACTTGATAATTTCAAGCTGTATTTGAATCCCGTTTGTGCCCCTAGAAAACAGGTGTAGGGCTGGAGAGATGGCTCAGAGGTTAAGAGCACTGGCTGTTCTTTCAGAGGTCCTGAGTTCAATTCCCAGCAACCATATGGTGGCTCACAACCGTCTATATAAGAGCTGATGCCAACACTGTATACACAATAAATAATTAATGAATTTTATAAAAAAAAAAAAAAGGAAAAGAAAACAGGTGTAGCTTCTAACAGGCCCTGGGTCTTATTTCCAGCATCATAAAGTCAGCCAATCAGTGAAATGATTAACATGGAAAAGACAACAAGGCACCAGGCCTGTAAGCCTAGCATTTGGAGGCTGAGGCAGGAGAGCTGCTGGGAGCGTGAGCTTCAGCTGCCCTGCAGAGTGAGTTTCAGTTTCAGGCCAACCTGGGCAGTGAGAACCCATCTCAAAATAAGTAAATAAATGTGTAAAGAAGTAGAACTGAAACGAAACCTTCCTCCTACCCTGCCGTGTTTCCTCCAGAACATGCTCTCCTCTGTACCCAGGCAGGACGCTGACACAAAGCTACAAGCTCCCGTTCTCTCTGGTAAACAGTAAGCACCCACTGGCTTGCTGAGTGGAGGTCACCTCCACACAACTCACCATGCACAAGCAGAACCAGAGCAGAAGGCTTTACAGACAGGACAGAGGGGTAGACAGTGTCACCTGACAGAGTCTGGCCGCTTGTCTTCTGCAATGCTGCTCAGCAGCTTCTGGAATGATCTAAAGAGTTCCACCTTGCTGATTCGGGATCTGTTCAGAAAAAGAAAATAAACATCACTGACTAATAACTAGGTGACAGACACTAGGCCTCATCACAGGGCTCAGGTGTGAAGATTCCAGATTCCACCCCTCTGTAGCCACCAAGGAGAAATGTAGACAGACCTGATGGGTCCCCTCAGTCGTCCCTCTGTCTTCCTCTCCCTCCCCAACAGAACATCTTGCTATATTTCCCAGGGTGATCTTGAATCATGAGCCTCCTGCCTCAATTTCCCAAGTGTTAAGATTCTAGGCATGGCTCACCACACCCTGCCTCTCTAGAGAGCTGTGATGTGACACTGGCAAGCATCACTGACCTGTTAGCCACACGACCGAGCATGTTTATAATTAAATCCTCTCACCCCAATCAAGTTTTCAGGGGACTGCAACCCCAGATGACATAAAAATTATTGACCTCTCAAATCCCAAGGCACAATTAAATTCATTTTTTTATTCCAAATCAGCAGAAACTCTGAAGTATAAGGTTTATAGTTATTTAAAGCTGCAGATGATTTATTTGTTAAACATCAATAGATAACTAACGTACTTTTTTAAAATTTGTTTTGGTTTTTTGAGACAGGGTTTCTCTGTAGCTTTGGAGCCTGTCCTAGAACTAGCTCTTGTAGACCAGGCTGGCCTCGAACTCAGAGTCCGCCTGCCTTTGCCTCCTGAGTGCTGGAATTAAAGGTGTACGCCAACACCGCCCGGCCTAATGTACTTTCATAGAATAAACCTAACAGGGATGTAAAAGATATATATAAGCAAATTGCAAAAACTAAAAATAATAAAATGAAATTATAAAACTTTATTGAGAACTGGAGCTATTGCTCAGGGATAGAGCATTTACATTGTTTCTGTATGAGGTTCGAGGTTCAATTTTCAGTACTGTTAGGGAAAAAAAAGGAAAACAGAAAAAATTGTGGCTAGGCAGATGGCTCAGTGGTTAGGAGCACTTGTTACTCTTGCAGAGGACCTGAGGTTGGTTCTCAGCAACCACGTTAGGTGCCTCACCACTGCCTCCTTACTCCAGCTCCAGGGGACCTGCCATTCTCTTCTGGCCTCTGCAGGCATCTGCACTCATGTGTACATGCTCACAAACAGAAACACACACATATATAAATAATTAAAAATAAAAAATAAACCTTAGACTGGAAAGATGGCTCAGCGGTATGTGCTACTCTTCCTGAGGACATGGGTTCAGTTCCCAGCACCCACAGAATGGCTCCCAGCTGACTGTAACTCCAGTTTCAGGGGCATCTGTGGGCACTGTACTTATGTGGTACACGTACATTCAGGCAAAACACTCAAAAAACACACATAAAATAAAAGAGAACTAAGTTTTGAATTGGTGTGATGGCTCAGCAGATGAAGTCACAACAACCTGAGTTTGCTCCACGTAGGAGAGAACCAGCTTTAAAAGCTGACCTGTGACCTTAACACATGCTATGGCATGAGTGTGTAATCAGCATACACGTGCACAGACATAAAAATAAACAAATGTAATAAAAAACTTTAAGAAGTCCTAAATAGCCAGGTGATGGGAGTATGTGCCTTGAATCCTAGCACTTAGGATGCAGAGGCAGGGGGATCTCTGAGTTTGAGCCCAGCGTGGTCTACAGAGCAAGTTCCAGGACAGCTAGGGCTACACAGAGAAACCCTGTCTTCAAAAACAAAAAAACAAAAACCAAAACCAAAAACGAAACAAAAAACAAAAAAGGCCTAAATAACTGGGTACTCAAAACTGTGTCAAATCTGGGAAAGAAACTGCTGAGCTGGCGGAGTGCTATACCCAGTCCGTATTCCTATGCACTGCACCGTTAGCGGTAGTGTCAGCAGCTGCCGCCTTCCATGTTTCTGGTCTGAAGGACAATGCTGAAAGATATCTATTTGAGAAAAATTGGTCGTTAGATTTAAAATCCAAGAATGGCCAACACAAGACACTCTTGAGCAACAGAAGAGAATAGAATAGGGGAGTGTGTGTGTGTGTGTGTGTGTGTGTGTGTGTGTGTGTGTGTGTGTATACGTACGTAACTGTATACATGGTTCCTGGATTTGACACACACATCTCACTTGGCTGGGCAGTGGTGGCCCACACCTTTACTTCCAGCACTTGGGAGGCAGAGGTCAGCCTGGTCTATAGAGTGAGTTCTAGGACAGCCAGAACTACACAGAGAAAACCTATTTGACCCCCACTCCAAACAATCCCACTTAAAGCATGTGGATTTCCATAAACCTGTAACACTGCCACAAAGAATACAAAGTGAGTTTGTCCAGCAGGAAGTTGGCACTGGAAACAGGAGGCTTTTATACATAGCTAAGTGCTGGGCAACTGCAGATGTACCAGAAAGATGTATCCCGAACCTCCTGGAGCTCAAAAAGTTTATTTCTCCCACCTGAATAAAGCGGCTTGGCAGAATGTACACCAACAGCTAAAACTTCCACTGAGACCTTGAGCTGAGACACAGTCTCCTGGGACGGAAACAAGTTATATAACTAAATAGTGGTACATGTTCATGTAATGGTGTTAGTCAAGTCCACATTAATTCATCACCACGCAGAAAATTAATAGTCAAAAAGAAAGTCATCTGTTAGACATTTGAGAGAACAAACCCAAAGGTTGGCACCAAAGGCACCAAAAATGTTAAGTTTTCATGTACCTAGTAATTATATTGTAAATACGACTTTATTATTTGGCTCTATGCATTTACTAATAAAATAATTAGTCAAGACTTTAGTCTGAAAAATATTTGTCTATTTCTGCCTCCTGAGTGTTGGGACTAAAAGCATGCACTACTAAGCTTGGTTATTACTGAGTATTAATGAAGTATATTGGAACACTTCCTTCACAAGAATAAGAAACCTCTACCATGCCATACTCTACTGCCTGCAGAACAGATCCACATCAAGGCTCACCAGGTCACCCCATTCACTGGAAGGAGGCCTCCCGGGACCTATTGACACAGGGTGAAACAAGGAGAGTGCACTTCACACCGAACAGTTACTACAGTGTCACAGAGGGTGCAAGGCAACTATTGCTCTTGGGACCCGTTCATGGTAGAGCTGCTAACAAAGTAGTTCACGTGGCAGGGTGGTGGCAGTGCACGCCTTTAATTCCATCACTCAGGAGGCAGAGGCAGGCAGATCTCTGAGTTCGAGCCTGGTCTACAGAGTGAGTTCCAGGACAGGGACAGGCTACAAAGTCACACACAGAAACCCTGTCTTGAAAGAAAGAAAAGAAAGGAAGAAAACAGTTTACTCGTTCCATTTTTCATAAAAAGCTATCCTTGTGGTTCCTCATACCCAGAAATTCCATTCCTATGAAGATTCCTAAGAAAAATTACACAAAAATAGGCACCCAGTTGTTCACACCAGCACTGGTCATAGTAGCCCAGAGTAAAACATCCCCAAAGGCCATCACTGATGAGGATAAGCAAATAAGGCACAGCTATACAGCAGACACTACTTAGCCATCCACGAGGGAAAGAGCAACCCCACTGCACGAGTGAACTGTGGAGGCCTGCTGTGTGCATGGAGCAGACACAAAGGACCACACAGTAAATGATTTCATTATACCAAGTATCCAGAAGAGGAAGAAAATGAAGCAAATGAGGAGTTTCCAAGGGCTAGGGAAAAAGAGCTGGATAAGGAGGGAAGGAGTTTATAGATACCCTCTCCCTAGCCCCAGTAAGCTGTACCTGGCCCGAGGGCTTCCAATTTCTTTCTTGGTTGTTCCCTGTGGAAAACCGTTGGCAGTCACATCTAAAGGATGCTCAGGAACAGCACTCCAGCTGATAGCTGTGAAGGGAAGAATCCTGGGATTAAATCAGTTTCTACTCATAGCTCAGTGCTGCCCTCAATCTTAGCCAAAGAATTTCCTCTCTGCAGTGGGCAGCATTTAATGCAGACTCATAACTGGCCACAGTGTTGAGAGTAAGTATCTACTGAGTGCTCATTCCTCAATGGGACAGCTGTATCAATCTCCACCCCAAGGCTAAGGGAACATCACAGAAGAGGGGGGACGAATGGGAGAGCTGGAGGACGGGGAGGAGCGCTGTGAAATGTTCTGGACATCTGATGGCTGCTGCACTCAGGAGCATACCGTAGCTATGGTTACCCACAAAGGATCCATTAAGATGAGTCAACGTTTCAACAGACGGCACTGATTGGACTCAGTAGGCTACAAAAGGCTGCCACCACCACCACCACCACCACCACCACCAAAACAAACCCCAAACCAGAGAAAGAGAGAGAGAGAGAGAGAGAGAGAGGGAGAGAGAGAGGGAGAGAGAGAGGGAGAGAACAAACACATAAATATACATGAAAGAGGGAGGGTGACATGTTGGGAGTATCTGGGGAGAGCTGGAGTCAAAACATAAAAACCTGTTTCTTTTCCCATGAATGTTACAACATTCACAAAAATATTTCTGACTCTACAGCACCATGAAAGCTGGATATGACATCAAAAACAAGTTAGGTCCGATGCTTGGTACCTTAGGGCTCAATGACATCAAATGGTTTGTGATTTTTTTTTCCCTGAGACAGCATTTCTCTATGTAGCCCTGACTATCCTGGAATTGACTCTGTAGACCATGCTGGCCTCGAACTCAGAGATTCACCTGCTTCTGCCTCCTGAGTGTTGGAGCTAAAGACATGAACCACCAATGCCCAGTGGTTCATGATCATTATTATAGCTTACAATCTAATGCTTTATTACACTTACTGATTGGGAGAGGCCTATGCATGTCCCGGTGCACATGTGGAAGTCAGAGGACAACAGAAGGGGAGCTGGGTTCTTTGTCTTCCACTATGTGGGTTCCAGGAATCAAACTCGAGTCACCAGGTTTGTTGGCAAGTTTGCCTTTACCTGCTAAGCCATCTCACTAGCTCCTAGCTTACAATTTCATTGAAAATTTATTATATGCTAGACACAAAATAAGTGTATAAATATAATTTTTTTTTTTGACTTTGACTTTTTTTTCTCTTTAACTTTGAAGCCTGTCCTGGAACTCTCTCTGTAGACCAGGCTGGCCTCGAATTTAGAGAGATCCACCTGTCTCTGCTTCCTGAGTGCTAAGATTAAAGGCGTGCGCCACTGCCGCACAGCTTAGATATAATTTCTTAATTCTCATAATAGCCATGACAAGCAATTCTTCTAATCTGAAAATAAAGAAGGCTAAGACAGGGTAACTAAGCCTGGCCAGGCTCTCACAGGGTGTACACCTAACTGTGGAGTTACCACTGTCTTCCTAGGACAGTCTGTCTGAGAACTTACTCCAGGGTCAGCCAACCTGGACCCCTCACCTGCCCCACAAGGAACGAGCCGGCCTGGTCCGTCAGCTCTCTGCGCTTGCACTGCACAGCGGCTCTGTTCAAACAGTAAACTTGACTGCTCTATTCTCAGTTCAGGAACTCCAAAGCCTCTGGGTAAAGCCACGATGTCCTGACACCTAAAAATGAGGGAAACGCATTCAGCTCAGATGTACCAGGAGAAGACTCAAATTTGCTCATCACCCCAAGCTGTAGGAGAGGCAGAGGCCCTTGGAGCTGAGTGAATCTACATGCTTACTTCCTGAAGTGGGAGTGAAAAATACCAGGACACCACACAGGAGGAACCTTCTAATTCTATTCCCTATAACCCACCCTGCTTTGTGGGGTGCTGGGAATCAAACAGACAGCCTTATGCCTGCAAGCAAACAATTTACCAACTGAGCTATATCCCCAACCCCAGCAGGAATTCTGTGGCTTAGAAAAGATCTGAAGGCATAACTAAAATCTGAGTCAATCCTGGTCTGCGGTGTCAGAGATCTCAACCTTCATTGAGAACCTTAGGCTCTGCCTTGTTTACACAGACTTCCTAAGAAATCCTTCAAGCATACCCCAAACTAAAATCATCCAAGACTAGAAGAAGTTGGTTTCCCCTCCTCTTCTGAACAAGCTAGGTGCTCATATGATGCAAATCCAATGCATAAGTAGGAATTTCAAATCTCAGAAACCTTATAAACATTAGCAGCCTTCACGACTCTCCACGCCCTTCTCCAGCCCTTGGTAACCACCAACCTACCACGGATCTCCACCAGCCTACCACGCATCCCCACCAACCTACCACAAATCTCCATCAATTTACTACAGATCTCTAAGCACTTGCCTTTTGTGGCTATTTCAGACCAACAGAATCAAACATGCATGGCTTATTTCACTTAGTGTGGTATTTTAATGGTTCACTTATGCTGTAGCATATATTAGCATATTAGTCTTTTTTTTTTTTTTTGAGACTGGATCTCATGTAGCCCATGCTAGCCTTGACCTTAATGTAACTTCTGATCCTCCCAGTCAATTGATGGGATTACTGGCTCAGTGCCACCAAGTTTGATACTCCAAACTTTCTAACAGTGAACAGTATTTGCTTGTTTGTTTGAATACACTACTTTTGTTTACTTTTTTCTCTTATTTTTTTTGTTTTTGTTTTTCAATACAAGGTTTCTCTGTGTAACAGTCCTGGCTGTCTTGGAACTCACTTTGTAAACCAGGCTGGCCTCAAAGCCCTGAGTCTGGAGTGCCGAGGATAACGACCTGTGCCGCCATGCCCAGAGACACACTCTTTCTTACTCATGTACCTACTGATAAAGCATTTGGGCTGCTTCTTTTGGGAACTATTCCTAGCATGCTGCCATGAACATCTGTGTGGATGTTTTGTGGGAATGTGCATTTTCACTTCTCTTGGGTGCATGCCGAGGAGTGCCAACACGAGGTTCTGTCTGGTTGCTACTTTTGGAATCTGCTTCCCAGGCCTATGTTCCAGTGATGCCTCTCTGACCCTCACTCACTAGTGCACACACCAGAGTGGTCATGTGTACAGCCATCCTTGTTTATCTTTTCTTGGATCAGGGCCTTTGTTTATTTTGCCAAGATTTAGAATCTTGCTATGAAGCCTAGACTGGCCTTGAAATCAGATTCCCCTTTTTAGCTTTCTGAGTACTGGGATTAAAACTAATATTTTTGTTTGTTTTGTTTTTTGTTTTTTTTCAGACAGGGTTTCTCTGTGTAGCTTTGGAGCCTGTCTTGACTTGCTCTGTAGACCAGGCTGGCCTCGAACTCACAGAGATCTGCCCGCCTCTGTCTCTCAAGTACTGGGCTTAAAGGTGTGTGCCACCACTGCCAGGCTGAAACTAATTTTTTTTGTTTGTTTGTTTCGTTTTGCTTTTTAGAGACAGGGTTTCTTCATGTAACCCTGGCTGTCCTGGAACTCATTATTCAGACCGGGTTGGTCTCGAATTCACATGGATTATTTAGTTTTTTTTTCCTTTGTTTTTTGAGACTGGATTCATGCAGCCAAAGCTGGCCTCAAACTCCCTAAGTAGCTAAGGGTAACCCTGAACTTCTGATCTTCCTGCTTCCTCCTCCCAAATGCTAAGATTAGAAGTCTAAGCCTTCATGGCCAGTCTTATGCGGTGCTGAGATTAAACCTAGGGTTTCATTCAAATTAGGCAAGCGCTCTTCCAACTGAGATACATTCCCCAGCCCTGACAATTATTCTGCTTACTGTAGAAGACACAGTAGAAAAATGATAATGTACAGCATTATCAAAGAGGAAAAACAGCCCACAACACCATGACTCAGAGATAATTATCGATATAAAGCCTCCTACAGCTTTCTGTACACATACATATTTTAAGACCAAGATGGAGCTCACTTCATCTTCTAAATTGCTTTTTAAACATCATAAACATCTTTCTACATTAAATATTCATGAATACTATTTTTAACAAAAGAAATCACTTAATTTTCAACTGCAGAGCATTTCTGGTTTCCTTTTCAAGTTACTGTATATACAAACCTAAGACTTATACTTTCTTAATTATTTCTTAAGAAAAAAACCGCCAAAATGTGCACCGGCTGAGTCCGCAGGGGGAGACTCTCCTGGTTCTCTGCACTCCTTCTACCGCCTTCCCACAGCCTCACCTGCCAGTCAAGGCTCTCCTCATGGCCTCCTGGCTGTATGGGCACTTCCCAATGACCACGGCGGACAAGTAGATGGGCTTTTCCAGGAAGAGCATCAGCAGTGCGCCTTGGCATCCGAGGACGTTCCACCTTGCCATCTTGTCACTGCAGGACATGGAGCACGTCCTGTCTCCCCTGCCTGGCTTTACTCGAAGCAGCCCCACCTGGTGGTAGGCAGCACCTGGCTCTCTCAAGTCTCCAGTTTCTCCGGGAACACACTTGGCTCCTGTTCTATACACATCCACCACTCTGAAACTACCTGGAGCTATTCCATCGGCAGTGTCGAGTTCCTCCTTGGTGAGATTAGAGCTGCCGACATCTGGTTTGATTTTACCACTTTCCTGCATCCCATGGTGAGCCATGCAGCTGGAGAGCACCCTTACTGGAGTTCCAAGCTTCATCTTCTTGGCTACAGGATTGTCAGGGTCTTCACAATTCCTTTTATTTTTGGAATCCTCTAGATTCTCACTCCTCTCTACAGATGAGTCATTGGACCAATTTCTGACGACAGGACAGCAAGGTTGTTCTTCAGACTCAAGCATTGGAATGATGGAGGCATCCCCACCTGCATGAGAGGAAACCTTTTAACCAGTAATTCTCAGAATGAGCCTCCCCACCAGTGACATTAATGTACCTTAGGAATTAGATGTGCAAATTGTAAGGCTGGAGAGATAACTCAATGGTAGTGATTGCCTGGCGATTGTAGGAGATCCTGAGTTCAATCCTCAACACTCTGTGTGTGTGTGTGTGTGTGTGTGTGTGTGAGTGTGTGTGTGTGTGTGTGTGCGCGCGTGCAACAAATTATTGGAATCTAATGGACATGCTGAATCAGACACTCTGAAGGTGGGGCCCAGAAGCCTGTTTTAATAAGCTGAGTAGGTCATTCTGATGCAAGCTCAAGTTAGAGATTTAGGACCTCAAACCGAGGTGAATTTGTTTTCCCTGCTGACTGAGATGAATAAAGAGGCAGACGGGTGATGAGCTCAGTGGCAAAGCATAGGTCTGATGAGCGTAAAGCCCAGGCTTGACTGCGACCAGCACTAAAAAAGAAACAAATAAATACAAACCAAAACCCGCATACCACACGCAGGTACGCACGTGCTGTGGCACATGTGAGGGGAACAAAGGGCAGCCGCAGGTGTTGGTACTTACCTTCCTCTTTGTGTGACACGGGATCTTGTTCCCTGTTGCATAAGCCAGCAATCCATTTTGTCATAAGAGTGCTAAGATTACAGATATGTGCTAGTGTGTCTGGCTTTACGTGGGTTCTAGGAATTCAAACTCAGGCCGAATGTTTCTATGGTAAGCTACCACAAAAAGTTTTAGGAGCACCAGTTTAGAGCAGGGTTTCTCAGTCTTCATATTTGAGAAATTTTTGTTTTCTCTTTTGAGACGAGACCACCTGTAACTCAGACCGGCTTCAAACTCCCTACTTGCTGAGGATGGCCTCAAATTCCTGAACCTCCTGTTTCTGCCTTCTGAGTTCTGGGATCACAAGCGTGTCACCATACCTGGGTCTAATGAAATTCTGAGGCAGGTAATTATTTGCCATGGAGGTGATCCTGTATGACAGCCTCTATACATTAGATGTGTCCTGTATGACAGCCTCTATACATTAGATGTGTCCTGTATGACAGCCATTATGAAGCCTCTATACATTAGATGCTAACAGTCCCCCAGTCTGACGATCAAAGGTGTTTCCAGACCCAGTTTAGTTGCCCATACATGTAACCCAAAGCATGGGAGCTGGAGAGAAAGTGTTCTCAGCTAAGAACTACAATTTTTTTAAATTTATTTATTACATATACAATATTCTGTCTGTGTGTATGTCTGCAGGCCAGAAGAGGGCACCAGACCTCATTAGAGATGGTTGTGAGCCACCATGTGGTTGCCGGGAATTGAACTCAGGACCTTTGGAAGAGCAGGCAATGCTCTTAACCACTGAGCCATCTCTCCAGCCCCCTAAGAACTACAATTTTAAGGGAAGTCTTACACAAAAAGACATTTTTAAAAAGTATGTGTGTTTGTCTCAGAGTCACATGCATGCAGGTGCCTACAAGGGCCAGAAGAGGGTCTTGGATCCCATGAAATGGGACTTACAGGCTGTTTTGAGTTGCCCAGCATGGGTGCTGGGAATTGAACTCATGTTCTCTAGAAGAGCAGTAAGTGTCCTTAACCATTGAGTCACCTCTTCTACCTTAGGCAAAGTCTTGTTTTGTGATGCTGGAGGTCAGAACCAAGTCTTATGCACTCAGGGCAAGGCAGGCACTCTACCACTGAGCTACACCCACCAACCTGATAACTACAGATCTGCGATGAGAAAAGTTTCCTGAGGGCATTTTGTGGACTGGTGCCCTGTAAGATGCCTAAGAAAACAATAGCGGCTTATTTCATGGCTGAGTAAATTTGACAAACATTTATTCAAAATATCCTCATCTTAGGGATTTTTATGATGTATATCCCACAGTAGAAACCTACAATAAACTGCAAAGGTCAGTAAATACCAGTGTTTCCAAAACCTCCAATGTTTTCTCTTTGCTGGTTTACAGATGTCTAATCTATTCTGCGTCCCTGGGAACCAAAGAAAACCTGAGGTCAGGGGAAAGCACAGCGCTCCCTTGAGAAGGGAGCCATTTCTTCAAACACCAACCCAATGTGTATTGCTTTTTCAGTGTGGGAAGAATATCCTTGTAGTCTTTATAACCAGCGAGTGGGAAAGGCAAGAGAGATACAGAAGGAGAAATGTCACAGGAGAGGCTGCCTGGCTGACTTCCAGAGACCTTACAAGGTGACAGCAATGCTGGAGAATTCACTGGGCCCACCTCCTACTCTGTAAGCTCAGAGATGTGATCGCGACAGAACGCCTGGATACAGAGGCTGACTCACTCTAACAACACACAAAAGTGAGAGTCTAAAGTAGCAAACCGAGACACCAGATTCCTAATTAGTAATGAGAAGTAAATGTCAAGGGAGCGAGAGTCACATTTGCTAGGCAGTGTGCGTCCTTCCTACAGATAAACCATGGGTGGGGTGGAGGGCACCACATGGTAAGAGATTACTCACGAGCGAAGGGACTGAAGATTTCTTTTCCCAGAAAAACAATTTCCAGAGTTTTTAAGATTAACAGAGGCTGCCACTTATTTAAGATCTTTAAAACCAAAAAGCCAATTACTACGAGTCACAGAGCCCCCACCCACTCCACAGCTATTCTTTCTCCCACCTCTCCTCACACAGTTGTCATCCTTCCTCCAGGGCCCCCCAGGAGAAACCCGGAAGCCATCTTTGCTTCCTCCTCCTTCACAATCATGGCGTCTAAGCAACTGTCCTCCTAACTCTCTCTTACATCTACTCAGTTGTCTGCCTCTCATTCATGAGTGCGACCCTCCCTCAGACCATCACACCCTCACTTAAAGACACAAAACAAAAACCTCTCGAGACTTTTCCTTTTAAATCATCTACCACACAGTCCTGATTCTTCTTGCTCTGTAGATGCTCACAGGTCAGCACTCCCCAGCCTGCTGGTGTGTGTAGTGTTAGCAGGCGACACCCTGGATACACTCCGGGTCTTTACTCACACTAAGCAGACACAGAACCACTGAGTTCTCTCCCCAGCCCCTAATCCCTACTCACTGCTGCAGACTTGCTATGCCCTACAGCGTGAGGAATAGAGAATACCTGCTCACGACAGCCATGGTGACACACTCCTGTAACCTTGGGAGTTCAAGGCAAGATGGACTAACAGCAATACTATCTTAAAAATACAAGAAACCCTGTGTGTAGGGCATGCCTGCACTGCCAGCACTTGGGAGATGAGGCA